AAAAAAAAACAAGATTAGTCAAAATTGGATGTATAATAAAATAATAAAATCAGGATGAAAGTCTGGACCGCAATCAGCTAAAGTCGTCTAAAAGGAATTCACTGACACTGTAATAAGCCTTAGACAGGAGCAAATTTTTAACTTCTCTTTTAAATGACATCAAACTCATGGTTTTAAAGTGATCAGGTAGGTGATTGAATAATTTTATTCCCATATATTTGGGTGACTGTTCAAATTTAGAGGATCTGTGTTTAGGAAAGGAAAGGTCATGAAGTTCAAAAAGTGGCTGCTATATGATTTGAACAATCAACAGAAAGTTTCATATTTCGAATTTGTTCTTCTTTGGTTTTGCGCAACCAGAGCGATCCTTTTTTGAATTGTATCGTCACGTGTGATGAAAAGTGAATCCTCTACGACAACAAGAGACATTCAGGACAGTGGTTAGATACCGATGAGCCACCCAGGCACTTTCCAAATGCAAAAACCTACCAAAAAATGATCGTGATTACTGTATGGTGATCAGTGGCTGATGTGATTCGCTATCTTTCTGTAACCGAGCCAAATCATCACTGCAGGATACTATTATGAGGAAATCGACGAAATGTACCCGAAAATTGCGTTAGCAGCGGCCGGCAATAGTCAACAGAACAGATCCGATGCTGCTCCACGGCAACGCTCGTCCGCACGTTTCACAAATCACCGTCCGAAAATGAATCCCACCATACACTACAGACCTCTCGCCAATCGACTACAATCTTATCAAGCTCTTCAAAAACATTCTCAACGGTAGAGCCTTCGCCAATCAGGACCAAGTAAAAACGGCCTTCGTCGACTTGCGATGATGGAAATTGAATTGTTATAGATTAAAATAATACACTGACTTTCTAGAATTAAGATGCCACATTGAACAAAGATTCACAACATACGCAACATACTATAGATGTTTGAAGGTGATTGACAATGTTTCGTGATGAATTTCACCAGTTCGGACTTCCATTGTCTACTATATAAAATGATTTGAAATCCCTGAAACAAATCAGGAATAGCAGACCATGTTTGTACCCATCAACACAACATCGAGTGGTCCCAAGCTGAGATCTTGCACAGAGATGAACATTGGTTTAGGAGAAAATTTAAGGAAGCCGCATACATGTTGTCCAACAACGTATTCAGCCAGGGCAGCGTAGATATACGAAACATATGGAAACCCATCATCAAACGAATAGTAAGAGCTTTTTGTTTTTTAAGGTTTGTGTGTTTTTAATGTAATAAAATGTATGTAAGCAATATATCTTTGTTCTTATTTAAACATGACAATTAATTGAGTAACACATGTTAAAACTATACAAAATAAAAGGCTGACAACTCGGGTCATTGTCAGACATATAGGTATTTTAGTTATTTTACTAACTATGAAGGGATACCCGGATTTTTTTTTTGTAAAAAGGGGTACGGAGTCTAAAAAAGTTTGAGAACCCCTGATGTAAACTGTAGGACCAAATCAAATTATTGCCTTAGAAACAAGTCAAACATCATAACTTCCTCTCGGCATGGATTTAGAGCTAGTCACTGCTACATATTTATCAAATCAACCTTTGTTGATTTGATAAATATGTAGCGATGTTGTGGTATGGTGGAAGAGCTGGGCGTCAGCTCTCATACGATTGTTGATGGTTCAAAATGGATTGGAAATAATAATAATAATATTTATTTATCCTTTGAGACGTTAACAACGTATAGGACATGTCAGTACAACACGTTAAAATAGTATAAAGAAAATAAACATACATTAAGATAAAATATCTCAGTAGTTTTAAAGTATAAAAATGTATAAAATATAAAGAAAAAAAAA